TTAAAAAAAAAAAAAAAAAAAAAAAAAAAATCCACAACACTTAAGGGTTCTCTTCCAAAGATCAAATTTTGACCAACAACTTTGTTCTCTGGATAATCTGCTGTGGTTCCCAGATACCTGCATACTAAATTAAACCTTCTTATTCTAGATTCTTTACCAAACCAGCTGTCCTCTACCAGCCATCCCGTGCCCTCCCCACCACCCCTCAGCAGTCCCTGGTCTAGAAGCACATATCGTATCTGACTCAGTCCTAGCCATCCCCTCGGCCACACTCTGCTCGAGAAACCCTTCCCCACTGCTTAGCCAACCACGCTGTCTCTGTCCTCACCAGCCTTCCCAGGCCGAGCCAATTGCATAGTATTGACTGTGGAAATCCTCCCGTTCTCTCTGAATAACAGGAGTTCCAATAGAAAGCATCTCTTCAGTTAACTGTGCTTATGGAGCGGTACTTTCCAGGTCTTCACCCAATAGTCATGAGAGTGGATAAAAAGGAGGACATAGGGTTCTTTGTTTTACTTCCACCATAAAGTTCAATTCCTCAAGGGCAGGCACCACGTCTCCTTCCTTCAACAGGTATTTACAGAGCCGCCACCATGTCCTAAGCCCTAGGGATGCGGGAGTGAACAAACAGACACAAACCCTGTTCTCATTAAGCTTACATTCTAGTGGGGAAGACAGACACTAAACCAGAGAAACAGGAAAGACTACAGTAAATTAGACAATGATAAGTGCCAAAGAGGAAAATAAATCCAGCAGAGAAGAGCATGTACAGTGTTACAGTGAGGGAAGAAGAGAGCAGGTTAATAATTTAGAGAAGGAGACCAGGAGAGGTCTCTCTGCACAGATCTGAGGAAGCCCTGAAGACCCCTGCATTTCTGCCATCTCATCAGTAGCTTTCTGGAGGGGCTTTGTGCTTAACAGCTGCTGCACTAAAAATACTAGTTCACAAAATAAGTTACTAATATAGTCAGGAAAATGCTCCAATTCAATAATACTAGATATCACTTTCTCTGAGACATTCAGAAAGCAGTCAAGGGCCTTGTTTACACAAAAGAAATACACACATCACTGATGATGGAATATGTTTTTTATGGCCACAAAGCCTATCTGCTAGGCAAAACCCAACGTAGCCCATTTCTAAAAAGCCCTTAAAATAGCACAACCTCACATTTATAAAGGTTAGGAAACAAATGAGTTTATTTAATGGCATCCACATTTAAAGAAGACAAATACTGTAATAATGTGAAACCAACTCAGTTTAACCACTTGCACAATGGTTGATTTTTGAGGGGAAGGGGACACAGCCTGAACTATAGCTGTTGTTTAGCAGTGTAACCACAAGTGCGTAGGACTTAGCTCAGGTAACCTCAGTATGGGGTACCTCTAGGAACCCTGACAAAGGTACACACAACTTGTGTCATCCAGTTTACATTCCTGTTGTCACTGCAGGACACTCTGAGAAGATCAAGAAAGCCAGGAGTCCTCTTCCTTGAGCTTTTTCCCAGAAGTCCTCTTCCTTGAGCTTTTTTGTACACACTATTTAAAAAGCCTACACCCACATTCCTAGATTCCATCACTAAGAGTTTGACTTGAAAAAGTAGGTCTCATTTTCATGTAAAATTATTCTAATTTTACAATGTACTCCCTAAGTGTTAAAAAATTTCAGAAAAACTCTCTCTACATCTTTAAAAACTGCCTCTGAAATAGTTCATTTGGCCTGGCTATCAGAGTAAATGAAGAAAATCTTTATTAAAGACATTAAATTATGGTAAATATTTAATTGGAGGAAAAAAAGTAAACTACTTTTGAGGTGATTTTTGGACCAAGGCTGATATTCTTGTCTGGACAGAAGCCAGAAGTACCCACGGTTGGTGGTTTCTCCTCCCAGACCAGCTGGGGGCACAGCACTGGAGAAGATTAACACACAGCCAGCGCTGGCACGTGGGCAAACAAAACTGGTTTCCTGTATTTCTGTGGTCTGAAAGCCACTGAGGAGTAAGTCTCAGATTAAAGGCAAAAATGGCAATTCAGGAAAGGCCAACTTGTTCTTTAAATAGATGAGTTGAATTTTTATTTCTAGAAAGTATGCCTGAACAAGTGGTTCATCAGAGCCAACTAATTTGAGAATAAAGTGGAGACAAATGGCATATATTTCACTTACCATCTTTTATATATATATATACACACATATATATTTTTATGTAAGTGATAAATCATTAAAAACAATTTTTGCCCCTCAGCAAAGGTTCTTCAAAAGGAAATGGTGGCTCAAAGTTGCTTTGAGGCCAGATGTCCAATTCTAGATATCCAAATTCCTTTTTTCTTTACATAGACCTTTCCCAAAAATCCTTATTTACAATCCAAGAATAATGAGGACGAATGTCATCTAATTTTGTCATAATACTACTCAGGAAATACCAGCTAGATTACCAGAAGGCTTTAGAGCAATATTTAACAAAATGTGAACCAATTTAGCATTCCGAGATTTCATAATTCAAATAGGAATACAACTGCTTTCAGTATTTCCAAAAATAATCAATGGTTTACCCACCAGAGAACTCTGAACACGCATCTGGTCATTTTAAAACAATTCACAAAAATCAAAGCGTTTCCAGAGAAAATTTAGCATTCAAAGTTTCCAGGAGGTAGAATCAAGCTGTAATTCCCCAACTGTTGCCTAATTTTAGATGAAAACTTTCACTTGAAATAACACGGTGTGCCGGAATTTTTGTTTTTAACTCATGAAGCCATTAAGCTTTGGCAGCCATACATGACTTAACCCTTTGTGTTTGAAAACATGTAAATCAGGGAAAATTTTCTCCATTTATATTCTTAATGCCAATGTTTCTTTTCTGTATTTTCCCCCTTATGATTGTACAAAGACAAAAAGAGTATCTCTTTTGCGTCTGAGGTAACTGCTTTTTATATTTTACAACAGTGGGGAAAGAATTTTTGCCAGAAACCTGGTCTTGGGAAAGGGCATAAAAAATTGGACCAGCCTAGCCTGTTTTGAGTAGACGGTTCAATGAGGCCCCCTATAGCACTTACCAGCAGCAGCAACAACAGGGAAGGGATATTCTGAATTTCCACAGCACTTTTTATCTGTTTCATTCATTTGGAAGCTAATCATTTATGTGGGAACATCTTTTATGCTGCTACTTTGTACTGTTGTTTTCATTTGTTCATGCTTTATCTCAACTAAACTTAGCGCACTGCCTCACATCAAACATGACCAACAAGTACTCTAGATGGTGCAAGAACGAGCCAGATAATTATGCTTTGCAATGACTGAAATACTGTCATCTGAAAAATAGAGGAGGAGAAAATGGGAGAGATATCAACTTTCTAAAAAAATACTGGGCCACTGTATCAATTTCTTATTTAAAAAATACCGCATCCTAACCCCATCTCCTAAGTTCCATGGTGTCCCTATTATTGAAATGATACACATCCTGAAGGTAACATTTTCACAAGCAGATTCCTGATGCTCTGATGAAATTACAACTATATCTGAGTTCAAGAAAGTAACTTGGCTAAACTATTTTATATGCAGTCTACTACCTAATTAATTCTAAAGTCTTTCTACATAAGAATAGGCATCTCAAATTAGTAAAATGCCAAAATCACAAACTGCAGAATTGAATGGCTAAAGGTAGCTTTAAAAGTTATCTAGCTGAATTTCCCATCCTGCAGCATGAAGAAAGTAGTTATACACACTCTACCTGAAAATGTTTAGCCATAGATCCCACCACCATTCTGCTACATAACCTAGCTGCAATGGTCAGACATTTTCAGACATTCATTTCGTGTTTGCCCTCCTATAAAGAAACTGTTGACTCTAGTTCTAAAAATAAATCTATCACCTCCTCACCAAACCATAAGAAGATAGCTGCCTTAAGATCTTTCTGACAGCCACATTTTGATATCAACAGAAAATTTACTGCAGTAAGTCTACTGACCATGGAAAACAAATGCACCCCTTTTAGGTGGCACAAAGCTCCCTCATTGTTCCTCTATTCCCGATACATGAGAGCAGGCTTCTCCTGGAGATTCTGTTACTATTCTGTGCATTTGCTGAACCACAGACTGGCCCGGGGAGCTTTAGCACCACCAGCTTCACTCCTCTGCTAAACCCAAAATCTGGAATCAAAGAAGGAGGAATTTCTGCCCTTGAATCTTACTCCACGAGTTTGCAATAAACATTCCCCGGAAGGCAGGGGAAAAACAACCCAATTAAAAAGTCCCTAGCTTTTAGCCGCCTGTGTGGAATATCAAATTAATTCATTAAAATTTCTCTAAAGCACTAATATTTATTAGACCCCTCTTATAACTACACATTTACCTAACCCTTATGTAACCTAAGTCTAGCTCTTAGTTTGTTGATAAAGCACTGAGGTACTGAATTAAAAGTCTTACAAACCTCAATTACAATACATCACCATCTTTTCAATCTTTTTAACCAAGGAAAAAAACGGCTGGTAATGGTCTTAATGTAAAAGATATGCATGACAGCTTTTTATATTTTAGGAGCTGATTAAAAAATTACATAGAATACTTTAAAGCAGTCATAAACTAGTCCAAGGAAACAGTTCTATTAACGTTCCTGGCTTTGACTTTACATAAGGAGATATCAAATAACTTCCCCTAAAAAAAGAAAACAAAAAACAAAAAACTGAGCAACTGAGAAATGAGAACTTCCATACACAACTGCAACTGGTAAATATAGTGCAAAACCCATGATAAAACTCAAGAGGATTACCTTTTTGGCACTTTCAGGACCTGATTCATCAAAGCGAAATCTCACAATTCTGAAATCTTTACAGTAAATAATTAACTCTGTTGGATTAAATTTCAGCTTCTGGTTTGGGCCCAGGACTTTCTGCTTCCTTTTGTGGTCATTTACTAAAAAATAAAAAAATTTCTTTCTTGATATTCACTCTTTAGTACACTTTAACAAATTCTTACTGAAAACAATCGGAAGGTCACCCACCACTTAGTACTGCTTCTCTAGAATCTTTCATATTTGTGTATAATTCCTAGAACTTTGGGGGATCAGTTTTAACTTTGCTTTTGACAATATTAAAGACATTTCTTTGCACAAAACCACCACCATCTATATTTAATGATTAAAATTTTAATTAAAAAGAGGACAAATACTAGAAAATACAAAAAGCCATATATTTTGGGACTTCCCTGGTGGCACAGTGGTTAAGAATCTGCCTGCCAATGCAGAGGACACAGGTTCAATCCCTGGTCCGGGAAGATCCCACGTCATGGAGCAACTTAGCCTGCGTGCCACAACTACTGAAGCCCGTGCACCTAGAGCCTGTGCTCCGCAACAAGAGAAGCCACTGCAATGAGAAGCCTGCACACTGCAACAAAGAGTAGCTAGCCCCCGCTTGCCGCAACTAGAGAAAGCCTGCACACAGCAACGAAGACCCAATGCAGCCATAAATAAATAAATAAATAAATAAATATTTTTTAAAAGCCATATATTTTATATCTCCATTTAAAAATAATTTATTGATTTCTTTTCCATTAATTTTCCTGGGACTCAAAAAAAAAAAAAAGGGAAAAAGCAAAAAACCTACAGAAATAAAACTCCAGCCCAAGTATTTGAGAGTGTAACTCTTCAAGCAAGAATTCCCGAGTAGAACCAGCTTTTAGGGGCTGAGTGAAGAATAATACATACCTGTGACTATTTGCTCAATACATGTTAAAGGGACATCATGTTCACCAAGAAGAAGGTTTCTATAACGGAATTTCTGAAATAAAAAAATAAATTCATGTTAATTATTTTCCCAATAACTTCACAATGGTAATATGAGCCTTACTTTTAGGTGTGATGAGAAATTGCGACAACCATCTCTAAAAAGAACAAAAGCTTTTGCCTGTGCAGCTATGACAATTCTAAGGCTGTAGTTAACACAGAACACACTTCAGTAGGAAAGTAAGGGGAGGAAGAGAGAAACACATACCGTGTTCACATTCTCTCCACCTTTCTCCCCACACTTTAAACAATAAAATTAGGTCAAGTTATATACAACAATGTCATTATAACATACAGGATATGTAATATTATACTGTCAATCACTTCACAGGCAAACACTTGCATATCTAGTTCTGGTTAAACTGTCACTAAAATAATAAAAAAACGGGGCTCCAAAGTCATCAGATTTTAATGGGTAAAATCATGGCTTGATTTTCACAATGGAGATTTTAGAGCAGAAAATAACTTTTTACAGCAGAAAGTCTACTCAAAATAAAAATCTTTAGTCAAACTACAGCTTATTTTTTAAACCCATTTTTTATACACACTTTCAGACTAAGGACATTGTTGATGCTATTAACCTTCTGCTGGTAGGACACTGGCTTATTTTTCCTATTAGTGGTATTGGATTTAAGCTATTCCAGATACATGGGTCTCATTTACAGTGAAATCTGGGGCCAAAGATCGAAATAAAGCCAAAAATAAAAGGAAAAACCCAAGTTTACAGCCAAATAAGCTAGTGTCTCTACATACTGGGTATCTGTAAATGCCTTAAATTTAGTCTAAATATACCTACAGATTGCAATAGATTGAAATACACTTATCCATAGTTACGTGCTTCAATCACAAGTTTAGAGTTAACATCCAAATATTACTATTACAAATAAAGGTCTAGGGAGTAAAAGTGTATATATAACACTTCACAAATCAAAACAGAAAATAGGAGTTGAGGAAAAGTCCAGGATTTTTAAGTTAGGCAAACGAATGACTGACAGGATATATAAGCAAAGATCACAGAGGATAAACACAGCAATGTGACTTAAAACCATCTCACTAATTATACTCCTCAAGTCTCAACATTCTCCTTAAACTTTATTTTAAATTTTAATATAATACATTCCCAACCTTATATTAATCACTTATTAATAATTTTATTATAATTTCCCCATATCTGTGCTTTATATAATATTGATAATACATACTGCTTAGAGTCAAAAGCCCTCATACGATTAAACAGCATACAAATCAAACACACCTGTAATGGCATTGGATTATCCGTAATAAAGGAAATTTTGAAGTTACTGCATATCAGTTTTCCCCACAAATCGTATTGACTTGTGTCCGATGCGATGCATTTTCTCACAAAATTGACTTCATTTACGACAATTTCTCCTTTACAAAAAGAAACATATCATTGTGTGAGCTACAACCACACCATAAAATGTCAACAGTCGCTGTGTGACCTAGAAGGAAGATTTCATTATGATGATAAGAAGAAACACTGAACCGGGACCTCACATCGGTAACAGTCACAATGGGGTATCGTGCTCCATTTGTAAGATACAGAAACTGAGGCACAAAGAGCTTAAGGGTCTGAGATGGTTCAACCAGAAGGGCTGAGCTGGAGTCTGCATCTTTACTATGCCATGCTGTCTCTCATTATTTATGTACCGAAAGGCGCCCTGGAGAAGAAATAAGCTGTACTATCTCCTTCAGAGTATTACTTGATGGGATATTTGTATTTTATTAACATGTGACTTGATCTCCCAAAGCGGTATCTTCGATTCCTTCCTAAGACAGTTCAGTATGAGAAACAGTGCAGTATTAACTTCAAAATTAATAATGCAATCTATTTATTTTAAAATACATTCCATAAAGACAAACTGAATTTCCCTCTGCACTCACATTATAACTTAGTTGGCAATAAAACTTTAAAATATAGTTTTAGAGTTAAAAGGGAAGACTAAATAAATAAATATAAGAAACTAAAACAAAAGTTTTAATGTTCTTTGAAGAGAATAATTTTCTGCAATTGATTTAAAGCTTGGTCATCATTAATCCTTAATTTCAAGTTCTAAAATGCAACCAGACCCAGGGACATTTTTAAGTAATCATTCTCTAGGGGCCATGGCAGAAGAGTTAGGGTACTGTGCTACTTTGCCTATTTCTGTCAGTACAAACACCTCTAATAGTGATGGACAGAACCATTGCTGACAAGCTCCAAACACCCACCAATTCACAGAGAGCAACTAGAGTCTCAAAACAATCCTCTCTCTTAAATAAAATGTTATAATAAACTTGAACTGCAAAAATAACTTTTATTCAAAGTTCTTAAATGCACAAGACGAGTTTTAAGAACAGAACCCTAACATTTACTTGAGGATTAAATTAAAAACGTGCCCATGTCAAATTCTCGGCTCAGACCAATGGAGTAATTGTCTCTTCTGCAGACAAGCCTCCTCCACGTGGCCTCCCGCCCTCCTCCCTACCCCCGGCACCCTGAGCCCCACCGCTGTCCTCATTCTCCCTCTCCAGCCACACTGGCCTTTTAGTCCCTCTCAGGGGCTGGACTGCAAAGATCCATGGGGTCTTCGCACATGCTGTGCCCATTTCCTGGAATATGCTTTCCTTCTGCCTCAGCCCAATCGCTTTCTCAGGAATG